GTTGAGCAACAGCCTTGCCTGTCTCATTATCACACATTATTACAGCTTGCGCATTTGAATATTTCTGAGAAAAAGGCATTGTAGAAAAAACATAATCATAAGGAAACTTTCTGTGATACTTGGGAGTTCCCAAAGGTCAGTTGTGAATGCAGAGTTTTAATCTACTTTATGTTCTCAATGAATAAGCAAATGATTTTGTTTGAAAAAAATATGATCAACAGAATACCCCTAATGGTTATCTCCAAGATAACAAGAGTAAAGTTCAGCCTATACTTGTCAGTGACACCCATAATTCTCAAAGGAATCTCTTCCATTAGACCATGAGATCTAAACATCATTTTGTGTACATATTGGGTGTGTATGGGAGAAAATTAGTTCCTTGTCCATATAATTGGGAAGAAGTAAGACTAGGAGTGTTTGTTTACCATAATTTGATGGAACTAAAAAACTTGTCCACTCTTTATTAGTAGATAGCTTAGAGAAAGTTTAAACTTTGTCTTGGAGGTAGCTAACAAAAAAAAAACCCTTTCTATTTTCTTAAAGCTTATATTATTTTAAATGAAATGTGTAAATATTGCCTTGATTCTTTAAAGAAAACCCGATGTGGAGGTTGCTATCAACCCTTTAATGGCTAGAACTAGCTGTTGAATCATTATCACTATCATTTTAGCCATTGTCTATCCACTGCAGGATGAAAGCCTCTTCTGAATGTTTCCAATCAATACAGTCCTGAGCTTTCTTTTGCCAATTGGGTCTGCAATATTTGCAGATATCGTTGATCCATCTTGTTTTACGTCTCTTTCTTGCGTGCTTTTTATTAAGTCGAATCCATTCTACGACTGCCTTGGTCTACCTGCCATCAGTTCTTCTTCCTATGGGACCAGCCCTTTTCTATTTCAATTCTTTTATTCTCTGGATGATATTGTATACTTTTGGTTGTTCTCTAATCCATATGCAGGTCTTTCTATCTTGTTTTGTAATGCTGAGCATGTATCTTTCCCATGGCTTTTTTGTGCCACATATTTTGTCCAATTCAGAAAGACAAAAAAGCTTTAAGAAACATGGTTTGTTGAGACAGTTTAAACAATGTTGTGATAGCCTTATGACAATTTTAATATGATAGGACAGTAAAGTAAGCTTAAGTATTAGAATTGTAGACAGAGAGAAAGTGGAAATCTTAATAATGGGATCTGTAAAAGCTTGTGTTAATTTATCTTAATATCCAATCTGATTCTCATGAGCAAAATAAAACAAAAACATTACCCGGTGGCTTTTTTTTTAGAGCCAGAATAGTTTTCTGAGATCTCAAACTGTGACAATGATAGTTTTGTGACAATGACGATTTCACAATAGCATGAAATGAGTTGTCTCTGACATTATAACTTTGGTTTTGAAGAAAAGAGAATAAAGTTGTCAGTGCACGAATGTAGCTGTTGTTTGAATTAGGATTCTTGTGCATACACATGCTTGTCCACAAAAATATTAGAATAGAAATATTTTAATAAAGAGGTTAGATTGACAGACAGAAACCATTTTTTGTTTGCAGGGATTCTGAAGAAGAATGCCTTTCCTTAGTTTTAACATCTATTTAACATCTAACTATTTAAAAAAAAAGTTAGGGAAGATGTAAATCCTTGAACTAAATTAACAGGGAGATTGTTCTAGATGTTATGAAAGATTTGTTTGAGCTGGTACATATTTTGTATAGATTTGTGCAGCTACACATTTGCATGTAGCTCTTTCTCAATTAAACTCTCTTGTAAAGGCTGAAGTGATTACGCCGTAGATATATCATCAGAATATATGAGCTGATATATTGTATAAATAGGATTCTTTCATAAGGAGAAGATTGAGAATTAGTTAAGAAAGAATTATTGCTCAGTCGCTAAATGCATACTCTGGGAGTTGAGCTTCCGATATTTCTAGAATGGCTGGGAAAAATACCTGCTTGGAATACTTAAGATGTACTGTCAGTTAGTGGACAATATTGAGCAAGACAGTCTATTCTGACTTGATATTATTTTTATTTATTATATTTTTATCCCACCTTTATTACTTTATATATAAACTCAAGATGAAGGGCATATATAATACTCCTTCCTATTATCCTCACAAGTACAACTCTGATGTGGGTTGGACTAAAAGAAAATGACTGGCCCAAAGTCAGCGAGCAAGTTTTCATACTTAAAGTGGGACTGGAACTCTCAGTCTTTTGGGTTTTGGGCCAGCACTTTAACTACACCAGATTGACTCTGTATACATACATACATACATACATACCATACATACATATCTTCAGTTAGTGCTAGTTAGTACAAATGCAGATATCATGTAGCATGCATAAGCACACCAACGTGTCTACCGTCCCTGTCCCGTTGTTTCTTTTTTTTCTTATATGTATCCATTTCATGGATTCATAACTATGTTTATACTTATACCTGTTATCTTATAATTGCTTGACTAAATAAATAAATAAATAAATAAATAAATAAATAAATATCCTGACATTCTCTTCTGAATGATCGCTATATAGGTAAGGCAGAGAACTGTTAGAAATACAGTTCTAATAGCAAAGCAAATGGTTGCTTAGGTTTATAGGCTACCACTTTTTATTATATAAATGTCTTAGCTGATATGAGTGAAATGGCTTCATTATTGAGAACTGGCATTTGGGTAAGATTTATTGCAATATTAAAACTTTTTGATGGTTGGAACACGGAGAGCTTTTTCGCTAAGCAGAATTACATTAGCTTGCTGAGCTTTAAATGTATTTTGCAATCTATCGTTTTCTTATTTTTCTCTCTATGATGTATTACTGAGAGTAAAGGTTGCTTTAACGATGTGATATACAAAGGTTATTAGATCAATATGTTGCAGAGAAAATGCAAGAGAAGGAGAGTGCAGAGGAAAAATTTATCTGAAGCTTTTTCCAATAAGTGATGCCATGGTATTCTGAAGTGGGTATCCCTATCCCACTCACCAGCTAAAAAGGTTGTGATGGCTGTTCCCCCCCCACCCCCCCATTTTTCTTAGCCATTCACCTCAGCAGTACCAATGGACAGCAAGCTAACTTTGTGCACATTGGACTCAGATGCCTTCTTTTAGACTAGTCACAAAGGAAAAATTGTTCCTGGATGAGGGAGAGGATCAGCATCCAGACCCCAAAATCCACCAGAACATATAAACAGTAGAATTTCCACAATAATGGATGATCTGGATGTATGATCACTGCAAGTGTAGAGGTCTTCTTCATAATTATGCAGTAAAATCATAGGCATAGTTGCATAGGCCCACCTAATATTAAATGTTCATAACGAAGTATGGTGAAGAGATACAAAATCATAGCTTAAAATTGATTTGCAGATTGAGCCTTGTGGGTACTCAAAGTTATATTGCTTTGCATTTTAATTAATTATGTGGGTACAATCTAATGGCCTATCCAACTCATACAATAACTATAAGTACTTACCATGGACAGATATGCCTGTAACAGGATGTTGAACAAAAAAGTGAGCTTGGTATAAACTTCAACATTTTATAATGCTTCTTTTATTAAATTAATACATTACTTTAACAAAATAATAGAATAACAGAATTGGAAGGGACCTTGGAGGTCTTCTACTTGAACCCCCTGCTCTAGTCCAACCCCGTCTACTTTGATTATGGTCAGGCCTTGTTAATATGATCTAAATGTATAAAAAGTTCTAGTGGTACATTATTTGGTTTGAAAACTAATATCAGAGAAGAAATGTTGTATATTTCTGGTCTTGGAGTGTAGAAGTTATATCATTTTTATACACCTTTATATACCATTGTTATATACTTTGGCATGCCCATGAACTGTCAAACCCTTTAAAGCTTTGCAACTCTAAATACACTAAGAAGTTGCTTGCAAAGCTTATCCTGCTACCTTCAATCATAGGTGCATCATAGATAGAGAAACCTCGATCTCATCAAGGAAGCTCCTACAGTTCAGCCTCTGTGCTGCATCACCACCCAAAGGTTCAATGCGCAAAAGTTTTGCCCAGAAATTCCATTCCTTTCTGATTCCACTTCAGGCAAAATTTGCCAGAAATCCATTTACAATAGCCATGTTTTTTTAAAAAAATTATAATGTACCCCACCCTAAAAACAACAGCACTTAAAGATAAAAGGCTCTCATTATAGTGCTAAATCTACTGCATGCTACATTGCTGAGAGATAATTGCTTTCTCAAGGCTGCTCAGTGAATTCCATAATCCTGTCCTTTCACTAAAATAGGAGGTATGGCTGTCTTTTTTGACCTAGAGACCTCCAGATGTAAATGCCCAGAAAAACAGCTTGCATAATTCCTTGCCCTGGAGGGCACCAGGGTGAGGACAATTGCTCTAGAAGCAGATTCCTGTTTCTTACATGAAGAGGAGATGTAGCTCCTTTCAGAATGGAAATGGCAGGTCCTGACTCTGGAATTCCTTCCCTGAATACACCAAAGTGAATGAGAAATACCAACCTGTGTGGATTTGACTGAAATCACTGTGCCCGTTACGGTGTTTCTGTTGTCACCATTGTGAACTTGTTAGATGTTTTGTGATTTTGTATGTTGTTATTAGTGTGTTTTATTTTTATTTGGGATTATTAGGAATTGTTTTAATTCAGCTAATTAGATTGTTCCTCCAGCCAAGTGAGGGGGGTGATAGTGAAGCATGCATCATACTTAGCTATGGCTTGTTGTAACAACAATTTGTTGAAAAAGCCATAGTTATTACAAACCACAGTGGTTGGTTTATGCAACATGTTAAGCTCAAACTATTTATGGTTTAGCATGATGGGTGAACTCAATAGTTGTATTTTGTTTAGAGGATAAACATTTGACAATCCTGATTGCTGTGTCAAACTGGTATGCCTAGTGATGTCTAGATAATTGGGGAAAGGTGTTCTGTTATGGTCTGAGCCTTCTTGCAAATGTAAGTTTGAAAGGATATTTGATGTTTGAATTTTAACTGTGTTCACCTTTCATTCAGAAGTTGGTGTTGTTTTTGAAGAAACGGAGGCCTGTGACTGGTGGAGTTTGGGTGCCCTTCTCTTTGAGCTCCTTACTGGAACGGTAAGAAAAAAAATATGCCATGTCCTGAATCCTACAGAAAATTAGGGAATTAGTTCTAGACTGTAAATATCCAAAGGCAGCTAAGAGATACAGAAAAACTAATGTTTTGCTGCCATTTAGTGGACATCAGGATTTTTGCAGCCTACGGAGTTTAGTAATATCGTACTATAGAGCAACAAAAATATAAGATAGAAACTTTCATATTGTAAGAAAAAACTTCAGAACAATTGAAGATACTACTTTTTATTTATGCATTGCTTGCCTACCTTTATTAGTTTTACAAATAACTCAAAGTAATGAGTTATTTGTAAAACACCTTCCTCCTATTTTGCTCACAATAACAATTCTGTGAGGTGGGTTGGGCTGAGAGAGAGTGATTGGCCCAAAATTACCCAGCTAGCTTTCATGGCTAAGACAGGACTTGAATTCATGGTCTCCCATGTTCTGGTGCCTTAACTACTAGACCAAACTGGCACTCGACCGTATATATCATTTGCTGAATAACCACAGATGGCCAGGTGCTTACAACATGCTAAGCCATAAACAGTAGCCAGGGGTGGGATGCTACTGGTTCTGCCTGGTTCTATAGAGCCGGTAGCTCTGAAGAGCAGCAGACACCGAACCAGTTCTGTGCTTGCTGCTGTTTGGCCCACCCACCCGCCCTGGCTTTTACCTGTCCTTTATTTCGTGCTTTTTCAACCTCAGCTGCTTTGTGCAAGGGAAAAAGGCTTTTCAAATGCTGCGCACTTGTGTACAGCGCTTTTCAGGTGTCCTGGCAGCACAGGCTAAGGTTATTTTACATGTACGCACAGCACGCGTCAGTTGCGTGTACACAAAACACACATATGCGCGCAAAATATAGTCATCAAACTGGTAGTAACACCAGTTGAATCCCACTCCTGACAATAGCTTATACCACATTACTAGTTCACATAGTGTTTCAAACTGAAACTGAACATATGACTTAGCATGGGGATGAATCCAGACACTAAATATGTATTTTTCTTCCAAGGAAAAAAAATTAGTGCTATCAATAGGACATGCTGTTGGGATTTAAAGTACATAATGTGTTTTGGGGGACAAAACTATAGATGGAAAAGAAGTATTCCCTTTGAAATGTAACACCAAGGAACAGGAAGTAATTAACAATGAATGCAAGTTGTTGGGGTAAACTCTGGAAGTGAATTCATGAAAAAGATGTATCTTATTTAATTGTTCCTCGTTTGAATAGAACAGATTTTTAATGTTTTGAATTCGGCCCATCTTTATAGATCTTCAGGAAGATGAACCCAGATTCAAAGGGATTTTTTTAAAACAACAATTATTTGGAATAGTTGGTTGGCTCAACCTGGGACCACATTATTTTGTTCAACAAATCAATCTCTTCCTCCAATTTCATCTTCCTGCCTCCAGCCTGGTGAAAGGGTTAAATTATGTAAGAAGAAGACATGTCTTTTTGTTGGAAAGATGGGCTCATTAGCCTCTTTCCTTTTGCTTCTTCTGAAAGAAAATGATGTCCCCTAAAGCAGAGGTCCCCAAACTCTGGGACATAGCCTACTAGTGGGCCGTGAGCTATTTGCAACTTGACTGTGGAAATGGCGGGTGAGCGCATGCGCATCCCCACTTATGTGAGTGGCACTTATGTGCGTTTGCGCAAATGGAGCTTCACAACAGTGTTCGTGCATGCGTGTGCTTGCCAGCTGCTTGTGCAGAACCAACCCATCCCTCCTGCCAGTCGCAAAGCCGGAAAGCTGGGGAAACTCTGTCCTAAAGCAGGGGTGTCCAACCTTAGCAACTTTAAGACTTGCGGACTTCAACTCCCAGAATGCCCCAGTCACCCTGGCTGGGGGGATTCTGGGAGTTAAAGTCCACAAGTTTTAAAGGTGCCAAGGTTGGATATCCCTGTCCTAACATGTTTCTGAATTAATTTCCTTTTGCTAGCCTTGGTGTATGTTGAAATATAATTTCCACTATTCCTGAAGTTGATGAGAATTAGGTTAGGTTATGTCCGTGTAAAAGAACATAATTAGGCTGGGTAATCTGGCTGAGAAATGGAGCAGAGGTCTGTACCTCCTTGATCCTCGTGCCCCCATTTACATTTTCAGAACACCTTTGGGAACAATCTATCAGCTTGTTTTCCAGATTTGTTTGCAGTAGAAATGGACAGTATGTATATGCACAATGCAAAACAAGTCTACATACAATTTTGGGTGAGGAGATACCCACTGTAATTGCTTTGTGTTTTAATGAGATTTTCTGTTCCATTATTGTTAGGGATATTCACAGAGGTCATAATTACCTGTTTGAATCTGTATACCTTGGCTTGCACCTCCATTTTTTCCCATCTCACAACAGGAATGAGATTTTAGGCATGGATAATGAATATTCAAAAAGTAAAGCTCCCAAAATAATGCAAGCCTGCATTGTTCTGTTCTACTGATAATCAGTTCTATTACCCCCGATTAACTAGCTCAACTAGTTCAGTGGTCCCCAACCTTTTTTGTA